AAATGGTGTGGCCATGGTTAGAGTTCTGGCTTATGTCCCTGTTTCCTCATCTGTAGACCTCATAAGTTATAACAGTGTACCGTTATTATTTTATACGTGAATGTATGCAAAAAGATGTCAGAGAAACAATGCTTTCTCACCACTTCTAACCTCCTTTGTGATTATTGAATTTCTGGACTTACTTCGACACAAAACAATTCTTCTCTATTTTATTTTTGTGGAGCTGTAAAGGAGAAGTTAAAACCTTGGCTAAAGTACCACACCTAAGCTTCCCCATTTTTCTGAGTGAGTGTACAGTTCTGCATGTCCATAGATTGACCGACACCATCAGAGGCCTAGTGATACAGCCTTAAGAACAATCAAAAAGCACTTTCTTTGTCCCAGGACTTTCTCCCAATCCCTGACTTCCATCTGTGGCTGTGACCACAGATCCACGCTGCAGCTTAGCCAACACTGACCTCAAGGCACACCTCACTTAAGCACGTACCTTGGAGAATGAACGCAAAGTACTGCAAATTACCCACCAGGACCATCAAACTAATTTCTGCTCCCACCAGCAATGCCTGAAGTTACACATTCCCTTCAAATCTTAGTCAGTAGTGGGGAACCTCGATAATAAAAAAAACTTCTGTCAGCCTCTACAGTATTCACCATGGCAAGAAAAAGGAGCCCTCCTAGATAGCCATCAACAGATAAATGTATAAAGAAAATATGGTAGATGTAGCAACATGATGAAATTTTATTCAACTGTAAAGAAAAACAAAAGCATGACACTTTCCTGAAACTGGATGGAACCCGTCAGTTGCTGGAGGAAGTCTCTCTGATGATTACGCTAGGCTCCTGTCAACAAGTATAGCAGAATATCATTAGGAATTATTTTATTGACAAAAATAGATTTATTTTTGTTACATACATATATATCTGTTTGTATGTAGCAAAATCAATGACTATTTCCCGTGATGTTTTACCTTGTTGTTATTTTTAAGAAGTTCTCTCTAAACTTGAAATAAGTATTACTGTTTTTCTAATTATTTCATGGCTGTTTTGACAAATTATTTTATAAAGATTTGCATTTATTTTTATTTATATGCATATGTCTGTATGTATTTATGCCATTTGCATGAAGGTGCCCAAGTAGGCCGGAAGAGGGAATTAGATAATCTGGAGTTGGAGTTCCAGGTGGCTGTGAACCATTTCACATACGTGCTGGGAACCAAGCTGCCGTCCTCTGGAAGAGCAGGCAGGGCTCCTAACCGCTACACATCTCTCTGGACCCTGCTAAATTCATTCTCTGTGTGTGTGACCCTTACTGTGGTAACGATCTCCCCCTGCCGCCATCAGTGACTGGTATCCACATCGGGATTATCTTACTTTCATTGATTTAAGATGGCAGCTTCTTCATATACAAGTATCTTTATTCTCAACAGGAGGTGTAGGTACACAAGCTGTTATTTTTCAAATTATTAATTTGAGAATCTTGTCAAGTCTATTATGATCATATTCACCCCTCTCCCAACTCTTTCCACTCGCCCTTCCCTCCCTCCCACTTTGTGTCCTCTTCTTTGTTGTTGTTCTTTTTACATCCATCAGGTCCAGTTTGTGCTCCCATATGTTCTTGGATGTGTGGCCGCCCTCTGGGAATGGCTGACTTGTCATGGGCTGCAGTCTTAAAGCAAACGGACTCCGACTCCTCCTCCCTCATCCACCAGTACTCCCACCTCCTTAGTTAGGGGTGGAACTCCATGCTGCCTCCCCCCTGTGCTGGGATTTGGTCTGGCTTGAGCTTGTACAGATCTTATGCATAGGGCGGGTCTCAACTGCTGCAGGTTCACACAAGCAACTGCTCTGCTATGTCCACAAGACACTGTTTCTCTGTAGTAACCACGAACTCTGCCTCTCACAGTCTTTACTCCCCATCTCCTGCAATGGCCTCTGAGCCTTGGGGGGAAGGGGTGTGGCATGGATGTCTCATTTAGGGTTGAGGATTCAGTAGTTTCTCATTCTCTGCACTTGGTCTCCGTATTTTATGCCATCTACTGCAAAAACAGCTTTGTAATATATTTTCACATATGATAGGAAAAAATTCTCCCCATTACTTATTTTCAAACTGGTCACTTTGGGGAGCAAAACTGTGCAGAGTAAAGTGATGTTCTGATAACCATGGGTGAAGTTTTTACTCCGTATGTAATAGAGTTCTACTTCGTATGAAATATAGTTTTCTCAAGCTAAATGGGCATATGTTCATTTTGACTTTTGAGTTTGGGGAGTTTATGATGGCCGCTATGATTTTCCCTCTGAGCTTGTTAGCAGGAGGCCGAGATGTTCTGCACAGGGCCACCCACTCTGCTGACATCGTCTCATCTTATTCTTGGTCCTCTATGTTCATAACTGCTTGCTTAGTTTTTCCTCAGAACCTTCTAGCTAACTATGCTTCCAGGTACTGCTTACACCTTTCCCTTTACGCCACTTCATTTCCTCACACATCTGTCTGCTGCTGGAGGCAGCCTCTTTCCTAATTAGTTCAGGGCAGCGAATTTCGACATAGCCTCAGTTCAGATTGTTCTCAAAGTGAAGGGCGTGTGAATTCTTGCCCTCATGATTGCAGGTCCAGGAGTGGATGGAGGAACACGGGCCTCTTTCCATAAGCCAGGTAGGAAAGTCACCCTCGGAATCTACGTTGCTTCTCTCCATGGCAAGGGGCCACTATTGTTGTTGTTGTTTTTTTTTTTTTATTAACAGTTAATAATTAACTTACCTAGTAGCACTTACATTATAGCGTGAAGATGCATCGGCAGGAGGGGGGCTCAGCTCCTTCAAGGCTGCAGTCCAAACCCCCCTTTCCCTATGAAGCAATGCTGTAACTCTTTGCTTTCCCGGGAATATAGGAACACAAGGAAGCTGTTTGTTTAAAAGGTTTGCAATGACTTGCCGGCCAGTAGCCAGTAGCCATCATCATGCTTGCCACGTGTGGTATTAGCGTTGATTTGTTTTTGCTAAGTGGTACTAATTTTAATTTGTTTTTAACTAATAAAAACATTTGGTGAAGAAGTGAGATGTCCCTGATCCAACAAGGACTTAAAGAGGACTGCAGTGGCTAATCCTTGGACTTCATCTGAAGAGTCAGTGGTTTTTGTTTTGTTTGTGTTTTGTTTGTGGGGAGGGCGTGCATCGTCTTCTCTCTGTCTTGGCATGCTGTCCTGCTCCTGTCTAGGTCGTTACCACCGTTCCTGTCTAGCTATGTCACTGACGTCCCTTCACCCCTGACCCTCTGTTAAAAACCGGGGGCAGCTGGAATGGCATTCTCCTTTGCACAGGCCACCACACCCCTTTCCGCTTCTCCTGTTCGAAGGATTCCTTGCTAACACTAGCCACACGTGACTCCACAGGGTCAAGGTTCTCCTTTGTAAAGTTCACGAGTCCCCAGGCTACAATGTAATGTTTCCCAAGTCTTTTGCTTGAATAGTAGTTTAGTAAAGTGTGTCCCTCTATCCAGTTCAGATGCAACATACCATAGTGATTTGCTGAATTCACGGATGAAGTAATAATAGATCAAACTCTAGCCATAATCCTGTGACTGACTGAGGTCAACGAGGCTATCACTGTTTAAGGGATGAGATAAAATGGGTGAATAGAACGTTACTAAAACACTGTCTTCAGAGATCAAAAACCTGTTTTTCAAAATAAAGATTTGTGTGTGTATGTAAGTTGGAAGAGGGGAGTTGGGTCCCCAGGATCTGGAAATACAAAGGATTTTGAGCCACTTCATGTGGCTGCTGGGAACAGAACTCTGGAAACGCAGGAATATCTCATGGCCACCTGTCAGACTCACTGTCCCTCATGATCACAGAGATTCTGACAGGCTGTCTTCTAGAAGGTGGTTTCATTCATTCATTCATTCATTCATTCATTCATTCAGTGTGTGTGTGTGTGTGTGTGTGTGTGTGTGTGTGTGTGTGTGTGTGTAGGCCAGAGCTTGGCCTTCAGTGTCTTCCTCAGTTGCTCTCCACCTTGTGTTTTGAGTCAAGGTCTCCCACTGAACCTGGAGCTCACCAGTGGGCCAGGCCAGCAAGCCCCAGGGATGGATCCGATCCTCCTGTTTGCATCTTCCGGGCACGGGGCTTGTGGGTGGGTGCAGCACAGACAGACAGCTCCTTGCATGGGGGTTGAGGATCAAATGAAGAAACTCAGCTTGTACGCTTTACCCACTGGGCCGTCAATGGGCACAGAGAAGGGTCCCACTGAATGCACAAGATTGTACGCGCCCAAACCGACACTCTAGACATTTCCCCAGTGTCTGAGGCTGAGTAGGAAGGCTTTTCACTTCACAGTATCTTCTTGAGAGGTTACCAGGGAGGCCCATCTTCTAGCATGCTGTGACCCAGATTTTGTTTTCCGGCGCAGAGAGAGCTGAGCCTTTAGACTTTTGCTTTCCTTTGCACGGTCTTTGCCAAAGGTGGGTCAGTTTTGAAACCGCTTATCCAGGACTGTTCACTGCGGGAGGCCAAAACGACTCCCACAAGAAGCAGAGGTATGCCTTGCTTCCTGTTGTAACACAAAGGTGAATTCTTCTTCACCTCTGGGGCTGCCTGAACTCTAGGATGACTTTGGGATTCAGGCTTTAGGGTATCAGGTCTGGTCCTGGCAGTGAGCCTGCCTCCCACAGGTGGTGGCTTTGGGAAATGCTTCCCAGGAGCCACCTCAAACAGGTATCTCTCAGAAAGTCAGAGCAGTGCGTTTCAGTCCTGGTATCCCTCTGAGGTAAGGCTCCCTCAGTTGCTACTGGCTCTTTAGGAAGCCTTAGGTGGCCTCTCCAAGCCGGCCACCCCCATGGGCACAAGGTCCCTAGCCAAGCTTCTGCAGACCGCCTCCCTGGGCCGCCGACCCGAGCCTGGCCGGCTGGGGGCGCTCTCCCGTGGGAACTTGCAGACGCACCCGGCCGGGCGGGACCGGGCCGCCGCTCCACCTCCACCCCCTGGCGAAGTTGCCCGGGACTCCAGGCGCGTCGCCGCGGACGCTGGAGAGCAGGCGCTCGGCTCTGCCTGCCCCGCGTCCTCCGCCGCTGGCTGGCCGGAGCCCGGTCGCCCCGTCGAGCTCCCCCGAGGGCATGCGGCAGCCGCTGGACACTCGGCTCCTGGGCTCGGCGGCGTGGGCGAGCGAGAGCGGTGAGTGCGGTGTGCGGATCGGGATGGGGGTTCCCGTCAGGGGCTTTTTCGGGGTTCTTTGGTCTCCAATCCTCTTCAAACTCCCGGGACGCAACTTTCCCCCCTAAGTGCGGCGTACCTTGCCCTTTCCCACTTCGTGTTTCTCAAGAGCAAAAATCAATGCAGATGCAAAAGCCCGGCTGCATCCGCCTTGGTTGTGGGCTGGTGGGACGGGCGCAGGGACACCCAGCTCCATCACGCAGCGCTTTGCAGGGGCGCTTCTTTCCAAACTCCGTGGAGTCTGCCTGGTGATGGGAAATGGGTTCTCCCCGGGAGTCCTGGGAGGTGACATTTTTCACCTTGCAGTTTCCTTGGTGTGGTGGTCTGACTGTTGGTAAAAACTCTCAAGATTTGGAAAATAGTTACTCTGGCCGACTCTGACCAGTTGCGAGGGATCCCCGCTCACCACGGGGGACAAAAGTGCTTTGTTTTTGTAGCAGTTTCTTCATTGCCTTCTCTGTGCAAGTTGCCACTATCAGAAACGGCTTAGAATTTTCTCAGGCTTGTGATTTGAGGACTGGCTGAATATTGCGAACAGTTTAGTCTTATTAACATGATTGTGGAAATGGCCCTCCAAAGCACTTAGAGGTCATTTTGTAAATGGAATGATTTCCCCCAAATCCTCCCCTCATAATTTGCTCGTCGGTGCATCAGTTTTGTCCTAACTAACTCTTGATCTTGGAATGTCACATTCACAGTAAAAGACTCAACTTCTCAGGGTTCCTCCTTGTTAGTTTATAAATCGGAGAACAAAGTAATGTCGGTCCTAGCCAAAATCCTCTTTGCAAGCCGGTGACCATTGCGTACATGCCCAGCCTTCCCTTAATGCAGAGCGCCTGAATTGCTAAAGACAGTTCTTGGTTTACTCTCTACCAATAGTTGTCAGTCTTGCTAACAGTGAGGTTTGGGTTCAAACCTGTGTGATGGTTTCAGTGAGCTCAGGGAACCAGGGGCTAGAATTCCTCTCCCAGCTCCCCCAGGAGCAATGCAGTCAGAACAGGCTTGGCTCAGTTAATACAGTTTGCCTAAGCAAACTGGGCCATTTTGAAACATCCAGCCAGCAAACCCGGCCAGTTAGGTGGGCCCTATGTCTCCCTGAACATTTAACCACGGGGACAATACTTGCACAGTACTACCATATGGCCAATGTAATTGATTGTTCAGGAATTTTTTCCCATTAATATTTTTTTTTTCAGTATTCAAAACCGTGATGCTTTCTTTGGTCTAGTGATAACACTCTTCTCAACCTTACCAAATGCGTTCAGCAATTACAAATCTCTATATCAGATCAGATCTGCGTTGGTTTGGCTGTTTTATAAGATGTTTAAAAGAACTGATTTGCACATGTTTTCATGAATGAAAAATATTAAAATATGCAATGATTTTTCATGTAACTTCATCTGAACTTGAGATGCTACAGTGTGTTAATTTTGGTCTCTCTCTCTCTCTCTCTCTCTCTCTCTCTCTCTCTCTCTCTCTTTCTTCAAAAACACACAGGCATAGAAGGTATGCACACACAGTATAAGAGCCAGGTAGCAAATAATGCTAATTCTCTAAAAGTTGAGCACTCATGCCTAAGGGTGGGTCGCTTCTCCCTACGTTCCCCAGCTTTCTCCTGAGGATCAGCAGCCCACCATAACTTAAGCCAGCCTCTTATTTCTTTAGGCTGGGGCAAGGGGAAATCACTATAACTCCAGTATGAATTGCTATAACTCATATGACCCATTAGCCACTCTCCTTGGCATATACATTAGTTCAGATGCTTTCTCGCTTGTGATTATACTCAACAAAGTGGTTAAGTCTGATTGTAAGCTTCTAAATGGCCTGGGCCAGACTCAGGGCATTATTATTAATGTGGCCTAAAGGGAGGAACAGACTTTCCAGCCAGCCCAGCCTTTACTCTACCCGGCTTCGTGACTGTAGGCACATTGTTTGACTTCCCTGGGCCTTAATTTTCTCATCTGTAAAACTGAAGATTACATTCATCTCCCAAGATTAAAAGAGAAAACAGGAGGGTCCCTCAAATACGGGAAGTACCAAAATGGTGCTTGGCCTTTTCCCTCCTGAACATATGTCCTGACATTCCTGCAGACCTGGCCACCGTGGTCCATCGTCCCAGTGAACATGTGCAGAGACTCCAACTGTAGGTGTCTTAAGCACACACACTTCTTTTATGTGCTGCCCCATTCCTGGACATGGACCTTGGGTTGGTTTCTCTTTTCACCGCTGTGACCACGTCTTGACTGGAAGCTACCTAAGAGAGCAAAGACTTACATTGTTTCATGATTTGAAGGCACAGCTCGTTACAATGGAGGGATCTGGAGCAGAAGGCTGCTTGCTCACATCTGAGGGAGGTCAGGACGCAGACAGGGGAAAGGAAACATGGCTTTTAAAATCTCAAGGGCCCTCCCTCCTCAGAAACACTCTTCCTCCAGCTACACCTTGTCACAGCCACCCCCAAAAGCAGTGTCTGTGGGGGACACTTCACATCTGCCATAGGCATTTCCTGTCTGTCTCACACTCTACCAGCAGTGAGCCTTCTCCTCTCTGGTCTTGATGTGGCAGCATCCTCAGCCTGGATTTTGTGTGTAGGTAGAGATGTTCAGTTCTGTCATGTGTGTGAGAAGAGGTGGTGAAGACAGGGAATTGTCTCCATAATTGCCTAAAGCACTGGTTCTCAACCTGGGGGTCGAATGACCTTTTCACAGGGGTCACCTAACACCAACAGAAAACAGATATTTACATTACGGTTCATAACAGTGGCAAAATTGCAATTATAAAGTAGTAATGAAATAATTTTATGGTCGGGGGGTCACCACAACATGAGGAACTGTATTGAAGGACCACAGCATTAGGAAGGTTGAGGACCACGGGTCTAGAGCTTGTGCTTTGTAAGGGATGGGCCAGAAGTGGTTGGATATGAGAGTCCAGTTTCTCATCACAGCTCTATCTCTGTGGGATCTGCGACCTTACATATATCACTTGTCATTTGTTTTAGTTGTTTTGATGATTTATATGATGGGGATTGCAATTCCTTTCTCAGTTACCTGCATGGGTTAGTGGTAGGTCCCATTAAGTCCTGTATACGGGCTTTGTAATCTGGAAGGGGCCTTATAAATGGTAGGAATTAAAGAGGTAGGGCATCCAGATGTGGACATCTTGGGCATCCAGGTGTGAACCGTCTGGGGCAGATTCACTCAGCACTAGTTACGTGAGTGTCAGAAATTCCATGTGAGTGTCTTGAGGACCAAGTGGACATCATTGCCCTCTCTCTATAGGTCTCTCTGCTGTCTTTGAGGTCATACTAGACTGCAGGGAGGAAATTAGAAGCAGAGCTTAAGGAACTGCTCTGTGAGGACCAGGAAGTTAATTGCTGACGAAGATTACTAAACAGCATGCCAGGCACAGAGCAAAGTTCCAGGCTTTAAAGTTAAAAATCGTCTCTCACCTCGGTTCTTGGTGCATAAAACCCAAGAGCTAGTTAAGGCCAGGAAGAGAGTGGGAACAGCAGTTGTTAGTCATGCTAGACATGGTCCTGGGCCCCTACACCACCCTCTCTGCCCTGCGACTTCCTAATGACTAGAGGCTCCCTCTGCAAAGTGATTGCATGACTCAACCTTGAACCCTTGGCAGATTATGTCTTTCAGTCAGAAAGATCCGTGACTCTCTGCCTCAGATGAGCCAAGAGAGTAGTTCGACCTGAGGGAACGGTCCCAAGGTTGTAGCCACCTCCTCCTCGTGGTCCTCCAGGCCTCGATCCTCTTCTTCCCCCACCCCTCCTGCTTTGGCTGTGTAGCTCTTATCCCCAATTTGTCCTGTTTGCCTATAGCTTTCAACTCCACGTCTGTCCTTGACCCCTGATGTCACCTCATTCTCATAAGCCCTGTCTCCCCTCATCAGACATGACAGGCTGTTTTCCACAAGGACAGCCACCCTGTCCCTCCTAAGATCGCCGCCTAACTGCTCATCATGTGTCTTTGTTGTTCCTGGGACACTGAGGGTGGGGGGAGGTATTGCAGCCTTGGCTTTGACTCAGCAATGTGCTGACTTGAGGAGTTATAAAGGGGTGGCTTTGGTTAGTGGCAGAGCTGGGTTGGGGGTCAAATAGCCCTGAATAAGCATGCAGGTTTGCCCAAAGGCCTTCCAAGTCTTAGTAGAGGTGGTGATCATGTTTTATGATTGAAACTTTAAGGCAAACCCTTGGCAACTCTTCAAAACTCAAGTCTTGACTACTAGCTGAACTATTGCAGAATAAAACTCCATTCTGTTTCTCACAGCAAGGGTTCATGCAAACCATCCCATCTCATCTCTGGGATAGTGACCTTGATCACTTGGTTATGTTAGTGTCTGCCAGGTCGCTCCACCTAAAATCACTGTTTTCATTTGGGGGTTCATTACTATTTGTAGGGAAGGATTCTAGACAACGTGAGTGTGTGTTCCTCCCTGAACCTCCATTGTGAGAGTTGACATGCATTGATGGCTTCTGCAAGAGTCAATCATGTCTGTGAAGGTTGCCAAGAGTGATTTGGTATTTGCAACACTCCTCCACGTATAAGTTGGTATTCTCCTGCATTCTCTTATGCTCACATACAGTAGGGAACACTCACAAGACTCCCTTTGTATTCAATGTTGAAATCTTATGTTTGCGTTCATTTTGATGCTCAGATTATACTCACTGGAAATTCTGTGATGCTTGCTCTTGAGTTTTATCATTTTTTGAGCCTCCCTTCCTTTTTCTTTTCTTTCTTTTTTTTTGCTACAATATATTCCAGGCTCATCTTGTACTTTCTCTAAATTAGTTCATCCTTTCTTTAAGTAGATAATGTCATTTTCTCCTTTTAAAGCTGTATGTTTATGTGATGTTTTGATATACTTATCCCAATACACATATATATAGTAAAGTGATTTCTACAGTTAAGCAAACATATACTTCCATCTCATAGTTGTGTGTGTGAAGGGTG